AGGGTCCTGTGCTGGCTGCCATGTGGACAGGGTCCTGTGCATCTGTCTTTGTTGCTTGTGCTTTTGGTGTCCATTTAAGAAAATATTATCAAATCCTGTGTTAGGAAGCTAGTTAACTGGGGGCTGGAGAGGTTGCTCAGTGGCTCAGAGCTTTACTTCTCTTGCAGAGAACTGGGGTTTGGTTTCCAGCACCCACACCCACATGCAAGCTATTCAGTACTCTCTTCCAGCCTCAGAGGCCGCTGCGCACGCATGCACACACACACACACACACACACACAAATAAAATAAGTCATCATAGGAAGAGTTTTTTCAATTTTAACTCTTAAACTCAGGTATTTGATCCATTTCTAATTACAGCCCCACCTTTTTTTTTTTAAAAATAAAGGTTTATTTTACCATTTGTGCATGTGTGTGTGCTCACGTGTGTGTGCACACACATGTGTGCAGCTGCCCACAGAGGCCAGAAGATGGCACCCGATCCCTTGGAGCTGCAGTTGCAGGCAATAGAAGCTGCCTAGCTTGGGTGCTGGGCACTGCCCTCTGGTCATCTGGAGGAGCAGCAAGCTCTCTAAAGAGCTGAGCCGTCCTGCCAGCCAGGTCTCCATTGCTCTTAACTACTGCGTCTCTTTCCCCACCTGACATCATTTTCTTCACATGGAAGTTAAACCAAATAGCACGCATGTACCACAGTATTCACCAGTGAGAGTTCAGCAATGCGCATCCTCTCCTTCCTTTTCTCTGTGAGTGTGCGTGTGAGACACACAATGGGGGGTGGGTGCCAGGAATGTGTGCACACGCAGGTGTTTCTTAGGAGCAAGTCGGGGTTCCTTGGGGCTTCCAGTCCTTATGCTGGCATGGCAAGCAGTGAGCCATCTCCCCAGCACTCCCCTCCCCCCTCCCCGGCCTGTTGTGTTCTGTCGCATTAACCAGCTTGGCCACTGTCTCTTTCCCAGGCTGTGTTAATGGAGATCCAGGATGCGGTGGCCAAGGCTGGGCAGGTGGTGCGTGAGGCGGTAGGAGGGCTGCAGACTGTGCGCAGCTTTGGGGCTGAGGAGCAGGAGGTCAGCCGCTATAAGGAGGCCCTGGAACGATGCCGACAGTTGTGGTGGCGCCGAGACCTGGAAAGAGCCGTGTATTTAGTCATCCGGAGGGTGAGGCGGCCTGTGGAGGGAAAGGGGGGATGAGGAGCCAGACCACGGAGGTTCTGGGGACCAGGGTGGCACACTGGATGGGGGGGCTCACCCATCTCTCCCCTCTTCCCTCCAGGTAATGGCCTTGGGCATGCAGGTGCTGATTCTGAACTGCGGGGTGCAGCAGATCCTGGCTGGTGAGGTGACCAGGGGAGGCCTGCTCTCCTTCCTGCTGTACCAGGAGGAAGTGGGACACTATGTCCGGGTGAGTGAGATGCCTCAGGACAGGCCTTGGCATTCTTTCTGGACCTTTGGGCCTTGAGCTTTATTTGTTTAGCAAACAAACTAGTTAATATTCTTATGGATAATTTTGAACATGCTTTAAAAAG